AGAAACTAGTACAGAGCCAAGATCAGAAATACAGCCTGGCTAAACAGGACAGATGCGTTGCCTACTACCAAATTGTCCATTCTTTACCCAGCTCTTGGAACACTTCACTTTTTTTTTTTCCTTCCTCACATCTATTAACTTTCTGTTATCTATGGGAAGTGTGGAGCAATGTCTTCCAGTTTCTTCCTCTCACATTTCTCTCCCCAAACACCCACAGCCAAGCTGGGCAGGTAACGGCAGCCCCACTAATTGGGACAGTCACGGGGACAGCTTGTCCTGCAAACCCACAGGGCAGCAGGTTCTTGGCACCCCGTCCTGCCCGCAGACCCACACCTGTCCTGTGTCACAGCCGGGCTGCCCAGACCTGGAATCTAATCCCAGGAGGGAGGTTATTTTATCTTCAGAGAAAGGCAAACAGGATGGGCACTCATCGATCTTGAGAAAGAAACATTAGCCAAGGCAAACACGCCGGGCTCTGAAGCAGCAGGATGTCCATGAGGTAATGCCCGGATTCACCCTGCCATCTCCTTTTACACTAAGGTTAGACTTGGAGGGAAAGCAAAGAGATGTGAGCACAGGACACAGAATCTCTACACATTTACCAAACCTCTTCGAAATCAGCACTGGTTCCTCACAACACAGAGTTCAGAGGTAGTACTGGCAGCCATCACACAGCGCTGTCAGACCTGGGAACCTACCACCAGCTGTCCAGGTTGTCTACCTGAGCTGGGTCCCCACATATCATGTGCATTGCCTTCTACTGCTTTGAGCCATTCAGCCATGCACCAGGACGCTTTCTCCGGGCCCACTGTAAAAAGGTTTCCCTCTTATTTATTCTGTGGTAGTTTCCCCAGTGAGATGGTGATCTGGCTGGAGAAGAGCCCAGGCATCTCCAGTTGCAGCCAGCTGTGGCTCAGCACGAGCCAAGACAAAGGCACCTTGGCAGGAGAGAGGAACAGCAGGACACCAACTTTCCCCCACATCACATGTGATTTTGTTCTAGAACTGATGCAAGAACTCCCACAGAGAAGCTCCTGCCGACAAGCTTACCTTTATCCAAGGCTATGAGACTGTATTTTTAGTTGTTGGCTCAGACCTTCTTACTTCTGGCCAAAGAGCAAGCAGGAGGCAACCCAGAAAGCCTGTTGTAACCAGCCTCGTGCTGTCCCCTTCTGGAGCCAGCTGACAGCCATCCCAGATCGGAGTTTGGTCAGAGCAGCAATAGGATGACACGGGGACGGCAGGAAACGAAGCGCTCCAGGCTCAGCCACAAGGCCATCTATCAGGGGCTGAGAATTACTTTGCCCTCAAGAATGTTCTTTAGATAGGTGCTGTTCAAAACAACCTTTCAGCACTGGTCTTGGCTTCCCAATCCCGTATCACAACACCTAGTGGCCAGCACACTCAAACTAAGGAAACTGTTGTGACTGCAAACCCCAGCGTGCAGTGGCCGGGCTTGCAAGTACTCATGGAGAACCCAGGGGTGTCTGTTAGGATTACAATCAACTGCAGCATTTCTGCCCCTGATGAAGGCTTACACCATCCCAAACCCAGTAAAACAGAAGACGACCCATTCCTCTTCTGCAAAACCTAGCTGCCAAGGAGCAGACAAAAAGCTCCCAGGAGCAGTCAGAAGAGAGGCTCCGATGCCTAGGTCACACCGCCCTGGCAGCGGCTTCAGCATTTTGAAGTCTCGGGTGCTTCCCAGGTCTAACTGGCAGAGATGGCACCAGGAGGAACCGTGGACCTTCCCCTGGAGCCAGTTTCTCTCGTGAGAGAAATGGGAAGAACAGACATAATTAAAAAGCATTGGGGGAGAACTTAATGGAAAGTCGGCAAAATGGGTGGTGGCTTTGTTTGAGCTGCAAGTCAAAGTTCTGTTTGATCTGCTCATTTACCAGAGCTAGTTCAGAGAGCTAACTACTGGCATGGACCTCAAAAGTTTATTTCCTTGCCAGTATTCCCAGGCTTGTATTACCTCCTTTAACAATAACACCATAAAATTAGAGCTTCGTTAATGCCGAGTTCCACATTAATCCACAGAAGACAGTAAACAGACCTAACGTGACCATCCAGGCATTGACTAAAACAAACACCTCAGAGGATGCTGTAAGAAAGACTCACATTTAACAGCGCTCACCATCAGAGACGTGTCATTTTGTAATGATTTGCCTCATTAAGCCCAGCACGACAGACCTGCCTTCCCTGCTCGGATGCTTTCTGACACCCAAAACGGGTGCAGGTGGGAGGCAGCACGCATCCCACTGAGGCTCCCCTTGACCCAGCCTGCCTCCTGTTTCTGGTTAAGAACTTTCAGCAATTATTTTTAATGCCAAAACACAATGTTTCACAGCTGATAGGAGATCTGAACTATTCCAATGGGAAATTAGAATTTGTTTTAGAGGGCTTTCGATGGAAATACGCATTCAGTAAGTGGGGGGTCTTCCCACCTCTCGTCTTTCCTGAAGAAGCAGAAGTTCATATTTCCCTTGGAAGTTTTAATTCTTTCAGTAAAATATAATTTGTTTTTAAGCTGGAAGTTTCAGCTGATTTGGCTGAAGTGGCATGTTGCTGCCTCTTGGGCTTTAATAGTTTAATTTTACTTTTTGGAAAAAAATATTAGAAAAAATACTTACTTAAATGGGAGCCTTTGTTAGAAGAGGTTATTAAAAGCTTTGGAGAAACTTTTGTCTAATTGAAAATTGTTCTTAATAACACTGCATTCCATTTCAGATTTAATTTCTCACTATTTTATTTACTTTCTGCACCACAATCCCTAGTAGGAAATTTAAGCTAATCCCAACTTTGGAGATATTAACAGCCCTTTTTTTGAACATGCTATCAGAAATCTGTGAGCATCAGCTTTGATTTAACAGACCTCTGAAGTGCAAGCCTTTTAAAGGAAGGAGTTCTCAAAAAAAAAAACCCTCTGTTTAGTATCAGCTACTGGTAAATCTGCATTATCGCTATTGATTCTGACAATTCTTCACATTTCTATTGAAAGTGGAAAACATTTCTCAGCAATTATCAAGAAATATTTTTAAAAATAGACAAGTTTATAGAAGTGTATCTGATTCTTTTTATATATATATATATATTTTAAACAGGCCCACTTTTCCCTTTAGAAGTCCACAGAACATAAACAACTGACATAAAAGATTCCCACCCCAAAGCCATCCTATAGTGATTTTCCATTTCTGACCAGCTCTAGCAGCCATTCAAACTTAGCTGCACAGAGAAAAACAGAGCAAAGCTGTTCCAAGCCAGTGCCCCAGCCCACCTCTGCACCCCACAGCACCCGATCCCATCACTGCCTGGGCTGAGCAAGAAGCCACGGGACTCTGGCTTGGCTTAGCACAGTAGGAAGAAAAAAAAAATCTTTCCTTTAGAACTTCTGTTTTTTCATAGCCTGCAAAAAAATAAAGACCTGAAATCAACCTAGCGATCCGACAGCAGCCAGCCTTACACTTTATTCACGTGCCACGGTGGAACCAGCCCAAGTGTAGCACCAGAGAGAAGGAGCCAGGAGTAATTCCCTGTGTTTATTTTCCCTTGGTGTGTGAAGCCGGCTGCCAGGCAGAATCACTTACCTCATGGGCACACGGCAGCGCTGTGAGCCGGGCTGGGGGCAGAGGGGAAGGCTCCAACCTTTGATGCTCAGGAGTCTCACATCTTCCTTAAAACAGAAAGAAAAACAAAAAAAAAACAAAAACACAACACAACAATTTAGGTTCCCAGCTGAAAAAAAAAAAAAAAAAAAAAAAAAAAGTATAAGTATGCCTACCAAAATGACCTATCTGACCCCTGCGGCTCCGAAGAGAAGCAAGATACCAAGTATAACAGAAGTTTCTTCCACAATGACCTATTTCCATCCAAAACGACATGCCCTATTAGAAGCCCTGGCATATCATCAGGCACTGCAGTGACTACAAAGGCTTCAATTCAGACACGGCTCTGAATAGCCGCCACATTTCGGAGGCCTGCAAAGGCTCTAGCAATGCTCAGCATGCTGTCCTCTTCCCCTTGGCAGCTCCACAGCAGCCACCTACAGGGCCTGAGCAATGGAGAAGGACTGCTGACCACTACCCACCCCCCAGCAGGGCAAATCACCCCTCCTGCACAGCTCAGAGCAACCAGCACCAGCCCACGGGAAGCAGCAGACATCCCCCCCCCCTCCCCAGGACCTTCTGCAGGGTTTGGCTGCTCAGAGCTCCTTGCTTTATCCTCACCTCCACAAAACAGCTCAGAAAGCTGTTCTGTACAAGAACTGCAAACTGGGCTGGGGACAGCTCCCCAGCCCTCAAGCTCCATGAAACTCACTGACTGCAACCCCCCTGCCTTTACCAGTGCCCCAGCCCCACTGGCAGTGATGTGCCCCCTGCCACCCCGCAGCGTCCCACAGCTCCTTAGGCACCTGCATGGCTTTTCTCTCAAACAGCAGAGGCCAAAGCCCAGAAGAAGATGATGGCCTGAGGATTTCTTCATCTCACCTGTTGTTTTCCCACTTTTATAGTTATTGTAGAGCTTGCAAGTGCTCTGGGACTTGTGCCCCTAGCAATCACCTGCACTGTCACAAGGATGGGCTTTGGCTCCATGGTGACACAGCCGAAGGGGGGCTGTGGCACATCCCGTCCAGCAGCACTTCACCCAGTATCACGCTGATCCGCCTCCACTTTGGTCTTCTATCAGTGAAAAAAATACATTGTGAGAGTGACATTAAAACCTCCAGAGCCAAACGAGGCTCCCATTGTGCTGCCCACACCATGGGGACAGCAGCTGGCCCCAGCCAAAGCCATGCCCCCGTCCTGCAGCAGTGGGGGCTCTGCGGGGTGGAGGCTGGATGGAGGTGCTGGTGGTGCTGCTGGTCGGGGGTCTTGCAGAGGGAAGAGGTCTCCACATGCCCTTCCTTCCTCTCCAGTCAGTGCTTTTCATCCCAGCCTCTTTTTCAATGTAGAACATCTCACTGCCACAAGAAAACTTTTTTTTTTTCATTTTTTTTCCATTTTTTTCTCTCCCCGACAATGGTACTTGAAAGCCCTCAAAGCTGCCACTTTTCTGTGCTTTGGTTTTGTTCCCTTTTTTCTCCTGCTGGCTCTCTGTCCTGCCCTGCAGATGAGATGTCTGTTCTCCCCCCTTAGCTACCCCACTTACCTCTGAAAAAGAGAGAAGAAAGCAGAAGAGAAGAACCTGAGAAAAGAAAAGCAGAAAAAAGACAGAATGATTAAAATAAAAATAGGGGACAACTTGGGGCCAGGTCCCTTTTCCTAGTGTTATTCTTCCTCAAAACATTAGTAGTTTTTATCACTTTTTATTTTTTTTCTCTTTGACAATTAATTTTGTCAGCTCTATCTGAGGTTGTTGTAGATGTAAATGGGGAACTAAGGCGTGGGCTGGCCAAAAAACATATTTTTTTTAATTTCCATTTTCAGAACCAATCTCCGTCCTCACAGCCAAGCAGTGCTTCACAATCCTTTCACTCTGAGATTTCTCCTAGGAGTTGGGGTCTCTGCTACTTTTCTGTGACTTTTGTTAACTGCATTTATTTTCCTGTTCGCATACATTCGGGTTCCCTTTACCTGGATGCAGAGCTGATCTCGCACACACAAACCCCAGCCCACGGCCACCCTGCTGACCACAGCCAGGCTGCCAAGGATGATCAGAGACCTGGCCTTCAAGAGGGCTGCAAATACTCCCCTAAGCAGCTAAATCACCTGCTCCAAGCCAGACGAAGCCTGCCAGATTTAGCTCATTGGTTTATTGTGACTAGAAGAAACCCTGCAAGGAGGCAGGGCAGTGGTAGGATGCAGGGCAGGACATTTTCAGGCCAGCCCAGGATGCCCACACTGGCTGGGAAGAGGCTCCCGAGCCTTCTGGTCTGCCCGCAGAGCCTTGGAGTGCTCTAACCCAGAGCGCTGGGGTATTTGAGATCTCAATTATTTATGTGTTCATGCTGTGGGTTAATGCTGACTGACACTAAAACACTGCCTAGATTTAGCTTCATAAAATTTTTATCCCCACTATGAACTGCAAGTCTTTCTCCAATTTCATTTAAAGGAAACAGAGTATTGAAAAGCCTACTGAGGAATTCATGAGCAACCAGCTACAACCTCACTATTCCTCCTAGCCAAATCCTGGGACTTGATTACCATGGCAACATATCATGATTTTAATTCCCTTCCTGATTGACCCTGCACACAGACTAGTACATCTGCTTGCTTTCCTAGGAGCTTGCCATGCACTTTGGGTGTAAGGTGCATGGTACTTGCTCCTTAGGGCCTGTGAGGGATCCAGGAACAGATGCTGTGTCCTTTTAGGGGTGAAACAACCAGAAAAGGTCAATAAAAATCAGCAAACCCAATGCAGTTAATGCTGTTGATGCTCTGACCTTCGAGCATCACAGACACCCAGGTGTAGCCCGTGCAGTGGGAGCTCCTGGATGGAACAAGTTTGGGGTATTTTGTGGGGTTTTACTTATTGCAGCAATCAGGAGTGGCAGCTTCCACCACTGTGATGAGAACTGGATGAGAAGTGTCTACAAAGATGCAGCTTCTCCAGGGTTGACAAGTCTCTGCTTTGAGATTTGTCTTATTTCAGCAATCACTGCACTCAGAGGCATTTACAGGATTATTTTCTCCATTTGTCTCACTAGGGCTGACACTGGAGATGCCTTTCCCAATCCATTCACTGTACCTGCACAAATACAGCATCATCACTGAGAGCAGACAAAGCTCAGTGTGTGCCCATGTTGGTGTCACCCTCAGAACGGTGATCTCAAGCACATAAAGTCAATGGCTTGAGGTGGAAAACCCTCGTTCAGACTCAGAGCCCATCAGGGAGCCCCGGGTGTCACAGACATTTGGGTGCTCACTTCAATGCACTTCATACACAGAAAAAAATAATCAGAATTCTGATTCTCACATTAAAATCTGCATATAATAAAAGAAATGTGGGCACACGCTTCTTACGAAGCAGACACACAAACCACTGTGACCAGCACTGACAGAGCAGCTTTGTGCATCAGTCACTCATCCCTGCCCATGGAGAGGACCCTTGTGGTCTGGACCTGCCCTCTGAACTCCCTTAGCTTGTGTTATACATCCATATATATATTTATTAGCATGTTTTATATATAATATAAGTAATGCCCAATCTTGTTGCAGACAACCGGAGACTCACAACTCATTTAAGCACAGACAATACACAGGAGATTCACCTTTCTCTAAGCCCAGGAATGAAAGCCTCATTGAAAGGAGCAGATTGAAACCGTAGCAGTCCGGATGTAGCTACCAGACGGCGTGTTCCTCCACCTCGAGAGATCCAGCCCTTCCTCCTGCTGAAGGGTTAAAATTTTGAACAGAAACCACAGTATTTTCCTTCTTTCTCCGAGCTATTTTATTTAGTTACCCTTTCATTATTGTTTTCCTTCTTCTAAAATAAAAGTAATCTAGGTAATCACAATCATAAAATGGACGTGAGCAAAATGGGTACTGCGGGGTTTATAAAATACAAATTTCCCTTTTCTGGGAAATACGGTCTCTTCTGCACTTAAGCTTTTCAAGCCCTGCCCAGCTCCTAAGGTGGCATAGACCCCATAAGGCTCATAAGCCCCCGAAGAGGAAATCACTTAAATATCCAGCCCTCCTCAGGACCCGCTTCAGCACATGCAGGGGAGCTGCAGCCTGGTTTAAGCGTGGGCTTCAGCACTGCCTTGAACAGGGATGCTTTCTGCATGGGAGCAGGAAAAGGCCGTCATTAAGAATAAATTAATGAATGTCTAATAGATGAGCTGGGTACCGCTGAGCCTGCACAGCGATGCCGTCAGCAGGGGCGAATCGTGCAGCTCAGCTAAATGTGCTCGAGCCGAGGGACTGCCACCGGGCTGAAAATCTGACCTGCATGAGGTAACCCAGACACAAGCAGGAATCAGCTCCTTCGCCAACAAAGGAGCCCATTGGGTTTGGGTTTTCTTTCCTTTTTTTTTTCTTTTTTTTTTTTTTTTTCTTTTTAAACTCTTCTGAAAATGACCCAAGAAAAACCTTCCTTGATGTCAGCCAAGCAGTTACTGGCAAAATTTCACTGACACGAAAACAAGGAATCTTTCTTACAGGTTGAATGTATCCAAATTGCTCCAACCCAGTCAAGCCCTCTTTTATTTTATTTTTTTTCCATTCCTCTATTTATTTTTGAACTGATAACTGTTCTGTGCATTTAAGTCAGCCAGAAAGGGGGAATTCCACTTTGATTTAGGAAAGGAAAACACCAGTTATTAGCCTGAGACATCATGTAATCTCCTCTAGAAATTAACTGCTATTTCCAAATGACTGGAAAATCCTCAGAGAAGGGCAGGTCTGAATTCTGGGTCTCCTAACCCCAGAGAAGCTCCTCGATACCCTGTGCAGTGGCAGGTAAACAGCTCAGAGTCTGCATTTATGTTGAAAAGCCACATCACTTCTTTCATTGTCTGTTTTCCACATTAGTGCTGGGGCTTGAACTACATAGGAGATGGCTGTGTTTGCAAATGAGGTATCCCAGATCCTCTTCAGTGTCTGAAATAGAATCCAGTACACCCCAAATAATTACCTTAATGGCTTTTCAGGTGTATGGACCCCAACTTTTGCTTCCAGAGCTGTTATTTTGCCCAGAACAATCAAGATTTTGGGGGGAAGATGCTGCTTTATAACCACTGATTTTATCAACAGCAAGAAGGAAATTCTCATTCTCTTAAATGAATCTAACTCATTTTTAAAAAGTCCCATATTATTTACAAACTGGCAGATCTACCTTTATTTGTCATTGCTTCATAGAAATGGGGGAGATGGGCAAAAGGTCAAGTTTTACCTTTCTGATCCTGCCTGGCGTGGGACGCTCTGGTTTCACACAGACGGCCACCTGCGTAGTGAAGGTAACGAGCTCTGGGTTATCTGATGAACTTCCAGCCATAAATACTTACATCTCTGCTGCCTGATGTAGCCTCACAGTGTGATTGTTGGTATCTCCCTGTGTGTGTGCAAAGCCACAGAGACGTCGCACGGTGCATGGTGGGCACCCATGGCATGCACACATGCAAAAACACAAGGGGAGGCATCTGTGCAAGGCCCTACAGCAACCCAGGCTGAGCCCAGTCCCTAATTTCCCAGGTGTACCCATATCACTGAGGCTTGTGGGAGCTTCCTCTCCCTGTTTTCTTATGTTTGGAGCAGCTTTGACCAAGCTGCAGAAAGGGAGGCTGATGGAAGGGCTTGGGCTTGGTGCAAGCCTGAGCTGTCACCACGGGCTCCTTGCAGTCAGGGCAGAGAAGCTGCCACTGCCAGAAGATGGTACGGTTCACACTAAGGGAGCTGCCCAAAGCAGAAAAATTTCCATCCTGCCTTACACACCACTGAAATTCAGTCTACATCTACAGAAGACTCACCTGCAGCAGCAGGTGAGCCAAGTCCACCTTGCCCTTTCCCTATATCCGAGCTCACCTCCTGGCTGTGGGCTACCCCGCTCGGGTCCTTCCATCCTGTCTGGGGGTGAGGATCATCCTGGTCTGACACAGGACAAGTGGCCTCACTGCAGGCAACAGCAGGAGCCTTCCAGGAAAGGGTGTAGCCCCCTGCCAGTGCGAGGAGGAAGGTAAGACATTCTTCTGACCACAGCTTGCCAGGCTCCACAGCAGCTTGATGGGGCTTTGCTAAAGAGATCTCTGATCTGGTTTTCTCCCCATGTTGACCCAAATCCACAGCCAAGTGCAGGATCGACTCCTGTGCACACACTTGTTGCAGACCTTGGTGAAACTCCAGGAAGACAGATGTACCACTGGCGGCCCTGTACAACGACGTACATTTTTATGCTAAGTACTTTTTTTTTTCTTAATGTGCTGATTTTTTGGCAACGTGACAGCAAAGTTAATCAGACCTTTCATTGCTTTAACCAGTTTTAAAGGATTTGTAATATTATACTCACTTATTAGAGAGCAGAAGGAAATTGTTTGTCTGATTCAGAACCCGTTATTTATTGTGCAGTAAGAGCACAATCACCTAATACAGTCAACAGCAAGATATTTTATCTGAGTTTTAGGGAGGTGGGAGTGGAAGCCCACTATCCCATCCTACCAAGTGACATAAACCTACTGTGATCTCAGAAGCCACCTCCTGAATACTAAAGAGCTGGGACATAATGGCTTTTAAAGAATATAGTTTCCAATTAGGTCATTGGTTTCAAACACAGGGTGTACTAAATTAGTAACATTTGGTGGTAAATTTCTTTGAAGTTCTCATTAATCTTGGTCTTGGATTTGAACTTTTCTTGGCCATGTTCCTTATAGAATTTGGATCCCGGTTATGTCAAAACAACTGATTAGCCCCACAGTTTGAAGGCAAGGGGGATTAGGTAGGGCGGGTGTTAGATTTCATGAAAGGCCTATTTACCTAGTCGTTTAGCATGACCAAATGGGAGGGCAGCCAACAGGGGCGACGTGCTGGAAAAATTCCAGCGTTCCTGGCTCATTAGAGATCTCTGCAGCAAATGGTAGCGTTGCACTTGTGATAGCAGCCACTGTTCACATCCAGCTGCCTGCTGGGCCCAGGCGAGGGCCGAGGATTTCCCCTGCCCCGTGAGGGCCCTGCTGCCTGGTCAGGCCGCCCGCTTCTTCAGCTCTGGGGAGATCAGTGGAGGAAGCACTTCCCAGGAACGTCTTCAGGCGGTGATGCTGCTTCTTCATGAATGGCCCAAAGCAAAGTTCACCTGAAAAATCAATCGAACTCTTTCCATCAATTGCAACACATTCAAAGCCAGGCTTCTGAATAGATCAGTCACCAAAACCAAGAATTGTTAAGAAGCTCACGGGGATGCTCTGACACGGCCTTTATCTAAAGAAGCAATAAGTTTAATTCCTGAATTAATGAACCAGAAGAAAATACACGGTGAGTCATGGCAGCGGCGAAGCTTGGGAAGTTCTCAATAGGACATGCTACAGTGAATCCAACCTGCAGCACACTTGTGTCCACGGTGCACATCTCCTTCCTGAGGGCTCCAATTAGTCAAGGAACAAAGGAGTACACCCGGAGGCCTTTCCGCGAGATCACAGCCCGGTGACAGGGACCTGACAAGCAGAATACTCAGAAGTTTCACGAGGAAAAGTGCTCTCACTGGAGCATTCAGCGACTGAGAGCAGACCGAGAGCCAAGCTACTGTCTGTCCCCAGGGGACATCTGATCTCGAGCCAAGACAGAGTGCCAGCCCCGGAGGGTGCAAGGCCAACGTCACTTCCAGGTCAGGTGGATGCACGCTGCCTTGGCAGAGCTTCAAGCCCCGTCATCTCGTGCAGTTACGGCTCACTTCCATGGGACCAGAACGGGCAGAGCAGCATTTCCAGGTGGTAAAGCTGCACGAGACACCAGCCAGCCTTCACGCTGCTTGGCTGCTGTCAGCAGTGCCCTGTGAGCAATGCTTCTCCTGTTTGTCCTGCAGAATAGACCTGGGAACCAGCGTGACTACGTGGCTTTGCAGCTGAAATGCACTGGGAAATTGGAACTGGTGCAGCAGTGGCAGTGCTTGCTAAGGAGGACAGCACGAGTATTCAGCCCCAATGGCACGGTGTAAAACTAAGTGCAACTCATCTTCTTGGAAGGAAAAAACAATCCCGAGATTGTGATTTCACTTAAGAAAATGACTGGTTCAGCTCTAATTTTATATGAAATTCTTGCTTCCGTCTCTAGACAATCTACCTAAAACACTTCATCAGTGCTCAGGAAGTCCTCCCTCACACCAAAATGCCACGATTGTCTAAACCCAGACCTCGTTCTCACCAGCACCTAATACACACACTCAGCTTTCAGCATGGGTTCAGCCTCTTTGACTCCAGCAGGGACTCTTCTAACATAAATAACATTCCTACATATGCAGAGGTGTTTGCAGGATCATGGCCACACAATTAATACAGAACTAACTTTAATAAGCCTAATTAGGGTCATTCCCCGATGGTGCGAAAAGTAGCACTGATACCTTACTGGCTGGGGAGGGAGAAATCACAAGTCTGATCGACCACGTGTTACTTCCCACAACTTGGTGACCTCAGGGTACGACTTCAGAAATCCCTCCTATAAAACTGGAGCTACAGAAAAGCGACCTGACTGCATTTAGATGGAGCCATGGAAAATACTCTCTTATTTTTTTTTTTCTCAGCAGTACACCTTGGCTCAGAACCATTTCTTCCACAGTTAGGAGCTCAGTAATATCCCTCACATAATGATGTCAAAGTATGGAAAAAAAAAAACAATAAAGGGGGAGAACCAGCATGCAAGAGACTTTCTGGAAGGGCCATATCCTAAAGAAGTGGAGCGTTTTAGTGGTGTTTAGCAGAAGTTACACAAAGGAGAAAGAGAACTTCGATGTGGCACTTGCTGTCCTGGGTCCTCCCCAGTGAGCCCACAAGACCTTGAGCTGTCCCTGAGCTTTCAAAGGAGGGGCTGGCAGAAAGCTGGAGGGTACCCACAGCTTGGGGAAGGAGGAGACGTGTCCTGGCCCGGTGCGGTCACCGATGCTCCGACACCCTTGGACACTGCACAGCCAGAGCAAGCAGGCAGTGAACGCACGTGCTCTGCAAGAGGAGCTTGGAGTTTTCCGGGGGAAAGCATTTCCTCTGGTTCTTCTCCAATTAAAAAATCACTCAGTGGCCTACAGCAGCTTCTCGTCTGGCATATCGTGAAACCACTATTTCAGCACAATTTACAGCCTTTTGGGGAGGGGAGAACGTGGTTATTTAGTAACTTCCCTGCTCGCCCCTAGGAAGGTCAGATCCTTTTGTTCCTTGCCAGAACAGTGAAAGCCGTAAACTACAGGAGGGAGAGCACACTGAGAGCCTGTGCTGCGAGTGCACGCACCTGGATAACCCCGCAAACAGCCATGCACTGCAGGCAGGTCACGCATGGAGAAGCAGAATATTAGGGGACCGAAGCATCAGAGCATGGTACGCAGCAGCAGTGCTGGAGGGCAGTTTAAGAGCCAAGTGCTAGAACACAAAGCGCATGGATTAGGTGCGTTTTATTGAGATTTGGATGAAATCTGCCACTTGTAACCAGGCGTTCAGTAGACACCAGGAGAGGCTGATCCCTATTAATTTCCCCTCACCAGCCTTTTTCCTGTTAGGAGACAGAAAATAGCAAAGCAAGATTCAGCCTTTCATCCCCTCCACTGCTGGCACCTCTAAAGCATGGTGTGGTGCCCAACCCTGCTGTCAGCGGCTCCCTCAGCTTGCACAGTAGTGCGATGCTCATACGGGCTTATGGAAGGTAAAAACAATAAAACAAACAAGAAATGAAGCAAAAAAACATTAAAACATAATAAGGAATGAGAATAACTTGCCTAGAAGTCCCTCCTAAAAGAAAATATTTGTTAATAACTTTTAAAATAATAAGGATTTTTAAGGGGCAAAAAGCTAGCAACATTATTTCCATGTTGTTTAGTACCCAAAGTTCTGCGGATATTTAATTATTGCTATTTTCACACACCCCAGGCAGGCTCGCATGACACAGATGCCACACTCTGGGGGAGAAGCCACCTGAACAGGCAGAACATTGTTACACGACATTTTCCCACAGCTTCTCAGAGCTTCCAGACAGTGGTTTGGGGAATAAGGTTAAAAAGTCCTCAGGGCTCAGAAAATCCACCAGTGAGAGAAGGAAACACCTTCCATTGTCATTACACATTTGTTAACATTTCATTTCACAAGAAATCAATACAGACCAAACTGTTTCTGCCAAAACCACAAAGGAACAATGGTCCAGTCACCCCACCCCAAGTTTTGTCACCCCACCGAAGCATAAAACAAACACTTTCCCTCTGCCTCCCCTGTTTACTCTGAAAAATATTTGTCCAGGAAGAGCCAAAACTTATCTTCAGGAAGCTTGCAGAGGAAAGATAGCAGATGAGAAAATCGAGAGAAGAATTTTGAATAGTCCAAGCAAAGAAGGCGAAGCAGTGGTTCCCAGCATCATCTTCATCTCAGCTTGCTTGCTCAGCCTGACAATCAACATCTTATTATGCAGTCCTAACATTTCTCTGCAATTTAAACACGGCATCAGTAATGGTGTGTGATCTTCAAGGTCACTTTCTGAAGAGCTGTCTTTAGCCCAGTGGTCGCTAGCTATTTAGGAATAAAAATGACTATTTTACTAAAGCAAATTACATCCTAGAAGTGTAATACACTTCAGCAAGTGCAATGGAAATGATCAGACGGGGGATCTGGCTTGGAATGCATTAGCTCTCATGTGTATAAAGCAGGTTTCTGGTATCCAGAAACATTTCAGTGTAGCCTTCAGAAAATACGTGTCCCCCTTTTTATTTTTTATCTCCAAGTACATTGATTTATAATTACAGTACATTAAAAAAAAAAGCACAATCCTTTGCTATTGTATATGCATGCACCAGTCTACCTAACATACATTTCCTTGGATATTTTTTACCTTGTGAAAAAAAAAAAAAGACTTTATCCCTGCCACACATAGGCAAATATTACATCTTGCACATGAAATGCTCCTTTAACCTGTCGTGCCATTTATTTATTTTTCCATGCTCTTATCTGAAGAGAATATTTTTCTTCTTCCATACAGCCACGTGCTCCTTCTGCCTTAGCCAAAAATTGTTTGGGCATCACTGTAGCTCCTGTGATGGCTAACCAATGTCACCAAGGCTGGGCTGTGACATCACAGACCGAGCGGGTTCCTTTGGGTTTACCTACTCATGTTTAGGCAGTGCATGGAACAAGGTCCCTGTAAAGCCCTGTACGTTTGATTGAGGAGGTAACTCAGCTAATATACATTACATACCATGGTGCGTTACTGGAAAATTCTGAAATTTTCATGAAAGTCCAAGAACTGCAAAGTAATTGCCAAGAATGTGTGTTTGCATCTTGATGTTGCTCCTCTGTTTCTCGGATTCACATGAAGTCTTCAGGTCTGCTGATATTTTTGATCAGAGCATCCCTTTCTCACAGAAGAAGCCAGAATAATGCCACCTTTACATGTAAGTTTTAATTTAAGTCACTCTATTTAGCTCAGTCTGATCTCTCCTTGATGTGATACCCATAGAGAATGGTAGAGCCACTGCCTCAACACCGAGGAGGGAAACTTCCCACAAAACAAAGCAGCTGGATCAAGTCTAGCAGCCAGCAGTACAGAGCAGTTTTCACCCAGGAGGAGCAGGGGAGACATCTGTGTAGGTCCTGTTCCCCGTTACGGGTGAGGCCATCCATGTCCTTGTAGCTGGCAGAGGAGCCAATTGCTTCCAATTGACTAGTCTTAAACCTTTAGAGCCAACTGACCAGCAGGAAACACATGACTCAGGTGTGTCACTGTGATTTAAATCATCTTAATATGTCCCTAAATCTTCACGTGCTGCCCGTTGTTATGGTGTCAACTGTCCCCGCACTTTGAAAAATTCAAACATCCCAAAGCTGGGAACAGGACCAATTTGCCAAGAGCTCACAGACACGAGATTAAAACCTAAAACATTAAGAGCCTTCTGGGGTTTGGGTTTCCCCCCACTTCCTCTCTCACCGAAATCAGGAAGTGCAAAGAAGCAACTGTGAAAATAAAACTTAGTTTCTTTTCAGAAAGTTACTTGAACTTTTTGAACCTTCTGTTCCATTTCCATTTAGGGCAAAAATCCAAGATAGTTATTCCTGTACTTAAGCCAGGTTCGGTCATCCTTAGTAATTAAGGGCACTAGATCAAAAATGAAATTTATTGTACCAGTAACACAACCACAATGGACCTTCATAAAACTTAACCACATGGAGAAGTGGGTTGCCTGAGATCTGCCATTCAAGCAGGCTTTATTGCATTTATATATAGAATCATGAAAAATAAATTAAGAATGGGGATGACCCTTTGTCTACCTAGGGGCCCAGAAAAGATGTTTGCCTCTGATACAGTTTGAAAATTAGCATTTTATAGGGCCTGGGATGCCGCCTGAC